ACCGCTCCACGGGCTGAGGTTTTACTCAGCTCTGTCGGGTTTCGCCGACTCCTGTCACCGCTCCACGGGCTGAGGTTTCATTCAGCTCTGTCGGGTTTCGCCGACTCCTGTCACCACTCCACGGGCTGAGGTTTAACTCAGCTCTGTCGGGTTTCGCCGACTTCTGTCACCGCTCCTCGGGCTGAGGTTTCGCTCAGCTCCACCGGATTTCGCCGGTTTCCGTGCGAAGACAGGGCTCGACGTGGCACTCGACCCTGCCCGCAATACCTAACCGTCCCGCCTGACATTAGCTCGTAAGTGCACGCGATAGAGATTAAGGCCGCTAGTTATAAGTCGGTAATTCGACGATCTTTAGTTGTAACCGCGCCGTAGTGATTAAGCCGTCATCGATCGCACGCCGCACCTGTCTAGCGCTTTGCGTCAACCGCTTTGCGTCTCCGCTTTGCATCTCACCTCCTGCTGCTGCCAACTACATTGCGATATCTGGCCCTGCACGCTGTATCTATCTTTCGCTAAATAAACTATCTTTTTCGCCGCCACTTGTGTTCGCGTACGCTTGAGTCTCCCCTCCTCTCGAACCCGGACACCGACGAGCCGATCCGAGCGTCGAGCGAGGTGACCGCGTCACAACTTATCTACAAGATAATAAATTATGACGCATAAACGTCACTCACTTTCTGAAACGATCAGCAATTGTCAAACTCGCCACAAAATATGAAATCGTCGATCGCCAATTGGACGTGTGAAAAAGGATAAGTATGCTATCTCGCTCGTTCTTTCGTTCTCTATCCTATTTATTCTCGTCGTGCGTATTATAGAAAAAAATGTCAAGTATAAAAGTGTTAAGACGCGCTTTTCAAACATAGAAAGATGATTAATATTACAAAATGTTTGATATTACTATAAAATTATCTTTTTACAAAACGGTAAATAAAGGATGTAAAAGTATAATAAAATCTTTCGTTCTCTATCTTATTTGCTCTCGTTGTGCATATTATAGAAAAAAAATGTCAAGTATAAAAGATGTCAATTATATAAACGCTTTTCGAACACAGAAATATGATTAATACTACAAAATGTCTGATACCACTAAAAAATTATCTTTTTATTAGCTAAATCAGAATGTTCCGTCCGTTTTTTTGCAAAAAGGATGATTTTATTTAAGAAACAAAATGAAAAAATACATCAATCAAAATATTGTCCATTGTTAACGATGACTTTTTCCCATCTTTCGGGCAGCAAGCGAATTCCGCGGTAAAAAAATGACTCATCTTTGGAGGCTATCCAATCAGAGAACCATTTTTCGATGTCTTCATAAGAATTGAAGCGTTCGTCAGCAAATGCATGTGCCATCGACCAAAACAAGTGATAGTCGAAAGGAGCACAGTGTAGTGAATAAGCCGCATGGGGTAGTACTTCCCAGCGAAGTGCTTTTAACGTTTCCTTGACAAGTTTTGTGACATGAGGTCGAGCATTGTCATAAAGCAAAATCACTTTGTGCTCGTTTCATATTCTGGTCGTTTTTCGTGCAATACTCTGCACAAATAGATAATTTGTTCTCGGTAGAAATCCCCTGTAATTATTTAACCAAATTTCAACTGCTCATGATACACTACACCCTTCTGATTCCATCAAATACAGAGCATTGCCTATTCCGTTTTGGCGTCAATGTTGAGGATTGGCCGGGGCCGCAAATGATTTTTCGACGTTTGGAATTGTCAAAATGTATTCATTTTTTATCCCCAGTGATGATACGATGCAAAAATCCCTTTCTTTGTTCTCTGGCAAGCAGAATTTTGCAAACGATTTTTCGTGTTTCAATGCTCTTGGCTTCATATGGGACCCATTTTCCTTCCTTGTAGATCTTTTCCAAGGCTTTCAAACGATCGAAAATGACAGATAGAGCACAATTTAATACTTCTGCAAGTTATTTTTGCGTTTGACATGGGTCTTCATCCATCAATGCCTGCAATTCTTCGTCTTCGAATGCTCTTAACCAGAACGCTCTTTGTCCTCCACATTAAAATCATCATTTTAAAGCGTCGAAACTATTCTCTGCATGTTTTGTCGGAAGGAGCATTATTACCATAAACTTCTACAAACTGCAGTTTTCTTCCATTTGAAGCAAAAGATTAACATTTCATTTCGCTTATTTAGCTCAAATTTCGACATTTTGTATGCAGTAAGAAACAATGTTATTGAATTGAATTGAATTAGAATTTATTTGATCTTTTCAAGATTATAAAGATTGTACATACATAAGCCTTAAACCAAATTCTTACAACAAATTCGTACAAGTACTTAACTTACAACTAACTAACTGAAACTACACTGTTCGCTATACATACACACACACACACACACACACGCGCGCGCGCGCGCGCGCGCGCGCGCGCTTGGGATCTCCGCTTCCGTCGCAAGACGTTTCCGACCAAACTCTTCCGGCACCATCCCTCCCTCCTTCCCCCCTTTCTCTCTCTCTCTC